CAAGAAACCACGAGCAGTGAATGATCTTAAAATACTGCTCCAACTCCTGACTACAAGTGATCCGCCTACCTCGGCCTCCCAAAGTGCTGGGATCACAGGCGTGAGCCACTGCACCCAGCCAGCCTGACCAACATGGTGAAACGCTGTCTCTACTGAAAATATAAAAATTAGCCGGGCAAGGTGAGGCACGCCTGTAATCCCAGCTACTCGGGAGGCTAAGGCAGAAAATCGCTTGAACCCAGGAGGCAGAGGATGCAGTGAGCTGACATTGTGCCATTGCACTCCAGCCTGGGCAACAGAGCAAAACTCCATCTCAAAAAAGAAAAAAATACTACTCCGCAAGTTGCGTATTAACTTAAAAAAGGAGGGAACAAAAGGTATCCTCTAAATGGAGAAATCTGGTGGACATCAACCTCCCTATGTGATCCTGGTGAACATCAATGTTGGAACTCTGCTCTATCTTGTGCCTCCCGTGGTGATGCACAGAGAGGGACACAGTGTCACATATGCCGGATTCCTGCCCTAAATGTTCAATCAGAATCCAAGAATGAGGAAGCAATTAGAATAATATAAACTGACAGACATTTTAGAAATAATGTGGCTTGAACTCTTCAGAAATATCGAGATGAGGCCTGGCAGTAGCTCATGCCTGTAATCCCGGCACTTCGGGAGGCTAAGGCAAATGGATCACCTGAAGTCAGGAGTTCGAGACCAGCCTGGTCAACATGGTGAAACCCCATCTCTACTAAAACTACAAAAATTAGCTGGGTGTGGCAGTGCTCACCTGTAGTCCCAGCTACTCGGGAGACTGAGACAGGAGAATTGCTTGAACCTGAGAGGCAGAGGCTGCAGTGAGCCGAGGTTATGCCACTGCACTCCAGCCTGGGCAACAGAGCGAGACTCTGTCTCAAAAAGAAATGTCAAGATGATAAGAATTTTTTTTAGAAGATAGGTTCAGGAACTGTTCTAGATTTTTTTCTTTTTTTTTTTTGAGACGGAGTCTCACGCTGTCACCAGGCTGGAGTACAATGGCATGATCTCGGCTCACTGCAACTTCCATCTCCTGGATTCAAGTGATTCTCCTGCCTCAGCCTCCTGAGTATCTAGGACTACAGGCACATGTCACCACGCCCGGCTAATTTTTGTATTTTTAGTAGAGACAGGATTTCACCACGTTGGCCAGGATGTCTTGATCTCTTGACCTCATGATCTGACCGCCTTGTTCTCCAAAAGTGCTGAGATGACAGGGGTAAGCCCCCATGCCTGGCCTTGTTCTAGATTTTTAAAAACTAAACAAATAGAGCAGCTGATGGAATGAGTGATTCTTGATTCCACCCTGGATTGAAAAGGTAAGAAAAAACATTTTAAAAAATATTACTGTTGGAACAACTGGAGATATCTGAATTTGGTCTATATATCAGATAATATTGCGTTTCAGTGTTAGATTTCCTGCATGTGATGCTTGTATTGTTGTTACGTTAGAGAATGTCCTTGTTCTTAGAAGACATGTGTTAAGATATTTAGGGTAACAGTAATTGAATTCTCTGTGAAATGAATTCTTAAATGACTTACCAAAAAAATATTTGTGTGAACATGCAAGTGTGTGGAGAGAAAGAGAAAAAGCAAATGTGGTAAAATGTTAACAATTAGTAAATCTAGATAAAGGGCAAATGAACATCATTGTGCTATTCTTGTAACTTTTCTGTAGGTCTGAATTTTTTAAAGTAACAAAAGATTGGGGAAATATTAACCACTACAAAGAAAAAGTAGAACGCATCCTGTTAACTATTAGTATCAACACTCCCACAGATATGTTGGGGTCATTTCTTTCTGCAGATCAAGGCAGAGTTCAGCCATTCTAGACAAGGCACAGTGAGATGAGGTCACTTTGCCAAGGTCACAAACACCATCACCACATTGCCAGAACTTCCCGACCTGCATGAAAATATCTCCTTCACCTTATCTGAATAGGAAAATTTAAATAAAAGATTCTGCTCTCTTTTATATCATTAACTATCTGTTACACAGATTAAAAGATTAGAATATCCAAAAATAAAATGAAATAAATTTAGGCATGCTAGAGTGGAGAGATTCAAGTTGATGCGCTCTGGCATTTTTCTTTCATTCCTTTGATGTTGTTTTAAAACAGTTTGGCCAGAGAGAGGGAGAGAGGGCAAGAAAAGAAATTAGTGCTGCTACAAATAACTGCCATCAACCACCAATTTAGGAAGTCACCAGAGCAGAACACTTCTCAGATGTCAGTGTTTCTCAGCTACACATTGCCCTTTCCTTCGATTATCACTGGCATGTCACCGTATTCTGCAAATCTCAGCAACGCCGCACCTCAGCCCACTAATCACTCATGCTTAAAAGCATGGGTCTGGGGGAACAGACTCGGGGAAAGCCCTCAGCCAGACCATGATGGAGCCAAAAGAGTGCTTAGGACTCTGTAGTTCTGCTGGCTTTAAAAAAAGAATTATCTGTACTTGCATGAGCTTGAGGAGAGACAGGACTGTTGGAGACAGACAAGCGATTATTTTCTTTTTCCCTCTCTCCAGTGAACCAAACACAATTCTCATTCTGGCTTCCCAGACTCAGAGCTCATGTTGGAGCTTTTCTCCCCTCGCTTCTCTTGGTCAGAGGTAATCATTTTGTGGCTCATGACACATGTGTGATTTTATGTACAATATCTTAAATAGCACTTTTAGAAAATCTGTTTTCGGACTGGGGGTGATGGCTTACGCCTATAATCCCAGCACTTTGGAAGGCCGAGGCACGTGGATCACTTCAGGTCAGGAGTTCAAGAGCAGCCTGGCCAACATGGTGAAACTCCATCTCTACTAAAAACACAAAAATTACCTGGGTGTGTTGGTACACTTCTGTAATCCCAGCTGCTTGGGAGGCTGAGGCAGGGGAATTGCTTGATCCTGGGAGGCTGAGGCAGGGGAATTGCTTGATCCTAGGAGGCGGAGGCTGCAGTGAGCTGAGATCGTGTAATTGTATTCTAGCCTAAGTGACAGAGTGAGACTCCATCTCGGAAAAAAAAAAAAAAAAAAAAGAAATAAATAAAATTTGGTTTCTGATTAGCCTAAAATGGCTTGTTCTGGAAGAGATACTGACTGTCCTAAGAAACAGTCTGCTACATGATGAGATTTTGTAATTCCAAGGTCTTCTCAGAAGCAAGTTGTATACTGCAAAGGGTTGCATGGACTATCGTCAGGACTCCCCACTAAGGAAAATCATATTGCAGGCAGGACGATGACACAGTGAGTATTAATGAAGGGCCTAGAAAGCTGAACTGGTAGAGAAATTCCTGACTGATAAGAGATGATGGGGTTTTGTGTGTTAACAGAGAAACTACGATACTTTTCTTTCTGCTTCTGTCTCAGGGAGAGAAGTTAGCCACAAGAATGACAAAAACAAGCATGGCCTGTTCTACTCATCTCTCCCCACCTCTTCCTTGCACAATCATCTCTCTGGTAGCACAGGAGCTAAAACCAAGTCACAGCTACCATCATAAAGGGACTTGAGCACTCAGCAAATGCATAGCCAAACTCTGGCTAAGGTTAGCCTATTTCCATTCACCAAGTCAGATTAAGAGGAAAAACAAATCAAAGTTATCTTTATAATCACATATTAATTCTAAAAACAATTGTATTTTCACCTCCTACAGTGTGCTGGGTAGGCTTAGAGATGCAAAAATAAATATCCCACAGCCCCTTCTATCAAGTTGCTCGTAGTAGAGTAGAAATGAGCTTTCCTGAAACCAGAGTAGTAGAACCACTAGAAAAGAAGAGAAAGACAATCCAGGAAAGACAGGATAACTCATGAGACAGCATCCCAACAAACACGGGAAGAGAGACGGTCTGCACCCAGGAACTGGAAAAGAGACATCTCTTCCACAAAGACAGAAGGGAAAGAGGAGATGGTAGATCATTTTCACGATGCAACAAGGTCACCACCATTATAATTCTTGGTTTGTAATGGAATTTGAGCCATGATGGATTTATCACCAGAATGTCCCCAAGAGTTTCTAAAATCAATGGCTTACATTAAAGAAAAAAGACAAACAATTTAGAATCATTAGATTAAGGATTTGTAGTGCAAGTACTTAATTACAACTAAGTGTAATTTCTTTAAGCAAGTCATCCACTGTTAATTATATTATTACATTTGTTCTTCAGTCTGGTGATTAATACTGATTTTAATGTTTTTAATAAAAGTTTCAGTATTATTTATGTTACGTGAAATAAGCCAGGTATAGAAAGACAAATGCTACATGATCTTACCTATATGTGGAACCTAAAAAGTTGAACTCAAAGAAGCAGAAGGTAAAACGATGGTTACCAGAGGCAGGGGGACTGTGGAATTGGGGAGATGTTGGCCAAAGGATACAGAATTTCAGTTAGAGAGAAGAAATAAGTTCAAGAGATCTACCATACACCATGGTGACTATAGTTAAAAACAATATAGTATATATGTGAAAATTGTCAATAGAGTAGATTTTAATTGTTTCCAACACACACAAAAAAAGTATGTGAGGTGATGGATATGTTAAATTGCTTGATTTAACCATTTCACAATGTGTATATGTACCAAAACATCATGTTGTATCCCAAAAATATACGGATATCATTTTGTCAATTAAGAAATAAATTAAAATTTCAATATTTTCTAAAAACATAACTGTTTATATAACAATATAAGGCAACAAGTTAGTTAAATTATTCCCAAAATATGACCATAAAGATAAAATCTGGAGAATAAGGAATTACAATCATCTAGGTCAAATGGCTTCTGTGATGAGATATACTAACTTTAACCACAATTCAGTGAACCTGATCTTCTCTCAGGCCTGAGTTGCACATTGATCCTGAGTCCAATCCTAGAGTCAGAAGTTCTACAACCCTCATGAGACATCAAGGCTAGAGTTGGCTTTGCCTCGAGCATTACACAGCCTTTGACCAGCCAGCCGGTTACATTAGCTATTAGCCATTTACCCTTGTTAGAATTATGATGCCAGTTGATTTCCAGACTATCAGTATTAGACAAAGCCCCTCCTCATGGTTCCAGCTGTAGAGAAAATGCAGAGAATCGAGTCGGGCAGGCAGGACCTCTCCCTGGCTGTCTTACCAGTGAGATTACTTGTGGTAAATACATTTATGTATTTACATTTATGTAAATTTACATTTATGTAAATTTACATTTATGTAAATACATTTATGTCTTATTTCTTATTCCTGACTTCCCCTTCCTTCCCAGGTTGCTATTTCAGTAACTTCTCATCCCTTTTGAAGTATCTTAAATGGTCTGTGATCTTTTTAGTCTATTAACTTTTAAAAAATTCTATTTAAACATTAGCCAATATTCGACGAAATGAAATTTTTTAAATGAAATTACAGATTCCTCACCAAGATCTCCTTTCTTCCCCATATTGTCTGAGTATTACAAGATCTTGACAAACAGAATGCTGGGTGTTCCATGGGTGATTCTAGCCAAGTGACTTCTATCTCTGGCATTTCAACACTGGTGTCTACTCAGGAGCTTCTCTACTGCTGAGTAGGTTAGGTTTCAAAAATCTATAATAGATCAATTTTTTCAAAAGTCTATAATGAAGTTAAATAAATAACCAGCGTGTACAGACAGTACAGCACTCTGATGTGCAACCTCTGGAGCCCAACTTCCTGGGTTCAATCCCACCTCTGCCACTTATCACCTGTGACCTGGCTGTGTAATCTCTGTTCCTGTTTTCCCATTTTTAAGATGGGGGAAGGGGATAATAATATCTCTCTGTTGTGAAAAATAAAATTAGTTCAAACGGTTAGAACAGTACCTGACACACAGAAAGTGTTCAATAATTGTCAACACTATTGGCTAGTGACAAAACTGAAATTTCCCCAGAACACTATAAATATTGATGGCATTAGTTTCAACTCTTCCTTTTTATTTCAACTCTCTTAAAAATATGTTCTTATTTTGTCTTTCTTTACCACATAAAAAAATTTATAACAAGCTATATCTTACCCAATTATAGATATTTTCATAAATCTCTTTAAGTTAGGATCCTGATTATCTAGATAGAGTATTTTTTCAATAAAATGAAATGCCTATAATTTCAAAATGTATTAAATTTGACAGTTTTTTAAAGATTATTCTTTTTATCTTGCTTTGCTTTTCAAAAAAACAAAACCCAGCAAACCTCCTTAGACCATGAATGAGGGCAACTCTAAAATAACCTAAGGTGACTGCTAATACCACCTGTTGTGGGGGGCAGATTTAATAAGCTTTAGCTTTAGGGCATAGCTTTGCCATCTGGGAAAATTGTAAGTTGAAAGGTCATAAGTAAAGGATATTCTATACTAAAATAAGAAGCTGAAAAATACATATTTCTCTTTAAAAATATGTTTATTCTATATAACCATCAGTGCCCAGAGGAATGCTTGGCAAATAAATAGATGTACAATGAATGGCTATTGTTGAATGAGCAAAGGCCAAGGACTTTGTAAACGCTCTAAATATATTTTCTCTGACACCTACAACAAACCAAAAAAAAAAAAGGTAGTATGATTTTCTACACTCTAGAGATAAGGAAACCAAAATTCAGACTGGTTAAACATTGTCCAAGTGGCCATCTGATTCTAAAGCCCTTCTTTTCTGTAACTCAAGGTCTGGAATTCATTTGAGGTATTATGCTGAGTACAGGAGGTAGGTCAGATAGCAGAGGGCACTGGGCTGGAACTCCCCTGGAATGAAACTCCAGGGCTGCTATGAGTGCACAGAATGAAGCTGAAGCACAAGATGCTACATCTTCGTGGAATGAGAGGAAGAACCCAAGGCTGCAGGCTAATCTGAGAAGAGATTGGGAAGCACTGCCAGGAGGGAAGGAATACAGCCAAGATTTGTTTACATCTGGACCAGGAAAGCACAGCCTCCTTTCTCTGCTTTCCCTGGTTTTAGTTATTTCTCCTTCCTTCTCTCCCTTCCTTTTCTTCCCTTCCTTCCCTCCTTTCCTTCTCTCTCTCTTTCTTTCTTTCTTTGAGATAAGGTCTGGCTGCCTCAGCCTCCCAAAGTGCTGGGATTACATGAGCCACTATGTCCAACCTTTGGATTTCCTCATTATTTTTTTAATTTTCTGATTACAAAAGGAATAAATTCTCATTTAAAACAAAATACAGGAAACTCAGAAAGGTACTTTTAAAATACAAAAATTTCTTCTAATCCCACCACGTAAAGTTAACACTGTGCTATATATCCTTCCAGATGTTTTTTCTGTGTGTAATTATATCTGATCTTTCTTAAATGCACAGAGTAGGCCGCCTTTTGAAAGCCCAAAGATGCACCTCCACAGACCTGCCTCCATTTGCCCTAACAGCACAACAAAAGTTCAAACCTGCTGCCTGATGCTCACAGCCTCAATGTTTATTTGTTAATTGAGAATAAGATCAGCACCATCTATCACCCCTACTTTATTAAAAGTTAGGCATTTGTATTTGAAATAAAATTAACTATATCCTTTGGGCTTTGGGGGATATTCTCTATTTCAAAATTAAAGTGCACAATTCTTACTTCAGTCTTCCCGTGCTGGCATCTGCATAGAACTTATAAAAAGTGAAACCACAAAATGAATATTTATACTTATTTTAAAATTCTGTGGTGGCTCACACCTGTAATTTCAGTACTTTGGGAGACCAAGGTGGG